CAAAGCTTTAAGTTCCAATGTAGAATCGATGTTTAGAGCTTTGTTTTGACAGTAAAATATGACATGGAACGATGTTTCATCTCATAAATTGTCAGTCTAATGCGTACGCTGCTTGCATATGGATGCATGTCATAAAATATTAATTCCATATTTATTTTCCGTTTTTTTTGTACCTTGCATACCATTTAAACTGTATGATGCTTTTGCCATTTTTAAAGGCTATAGTGTATTTTATGAAAATATAAGTTGTATAAAATGGAGAAAAAAATTGCGCCATAAGTCAGGAGAGGAAAGGCTGTCTCTTTTACGACGTCATGAAGCTGGCAGGTTGTTACAGTTTACAGGACTTTGTTACTGTATGTATGCTTTGCATAAATCTGTCTCATAGTGTCCATTGCTGTACAGGAATATTCTAGCATCCTTCAATAAACATGGGCAATATTGTGTTTCTTGATTTTTGTCAGTGCCTTGCCAAATAATTAGCTGTAATTAGTTATTGTGCATTCATGCATACTTTGAGGACAGTAAGATTTTTTAAAAATGTTTTGAAAGAAGTCTCATGCTCATCAAGGCTGTATTTATTTGATCAAAGATACAGTAAAAACTGATATATTAAAATTATTCAGATTCTTCAGAAATCATATGCTGATTTCATGCAAGAATGTCAAGAAACATTTCTTTATATTATCAATGTTGAAATTGTTTTTGTGGAAACCATGACTTTTTTTTCAGGATACTTTGATACTTTTTTTTTTTTTATAAAAAGTAGTAGAGTAAAAGTTCTTTAGATTTTTTTATTTTTTTTTTTTTTTTTTTGGGCTGCTGACTGGTTTGTGCAGAAAATATTTTTCAAAAATCTTCATGCATATTGCATGAACCTTTGACTTGTTTTTGTAATAATGGTTTCTTATAACTTCCCAAGATGCCAGGCTGTGAGTGCGTAAGTCAGGGGGGGTCGTTTGTTGCCTGAGGCGTTGCTATTTGCTTACATTCTCTCTGACCTGTGCGGCATTTCAGGAGAAAGTCTTTGTCAATTTTGTATCATTTTAGACGAGGTTAAGATATTTATGTACTGAATATTTAATACTGCATCAATGTTTTACTCCAGACTTAAGAGGCTCATCTCAAGCTCTTGCTTTCTGGTTATTTACAGGTTCTAAATGTTCCACTTAGTTTGTGTTGGAAATCATTGACATAATTGGACATTGATTTGATCTCACTAAACCTGTCCAAAACTTGTTTTGGTCACATTTCACCTCAAAAATGTAAAAAAAAAAATTTTTTTTATTGCAATATTAATGTCAATAATTTTAAGTCATGTTCTTATGTTATATTCAAGTTTTAGGCATCACAGCAATAAATAAATAAAGAAAATTCCTGTGAAAACTCAACATTCATATTTATATTCTAATTTCATAAAGATGTAAAAGGTCTTAAATGTTTCCTGAAAGCTTAGTCACAGAGTTTTTGTGATGACTGGCCTGAGAATTAGAGTTCTGTCTAATAATAAACTTGTGAGTTTGTCAAGGTCCCTGACAGATGGCATGGGTGTCGTCCGGGGCTACAGGGCCCTTCTTAGTTCTGCACTGCCCGTTGGTGCTCTCTAAAGTCTCTTGGATTTTTCAGCTGTCTTAGCAGCTGCCGCCTCTGTGCTGGTTTTGGGAGGACTGCTGGGATGTCTGGAACAGTGGAAAAAGACAGACCCTCTGTGGCAATTTCCTGGAAATCTTTATAGTAGTTTTTAACTGCCAACCTTTTAAACAGTTCCCAGTCGTTGCAGTGGATTTCTCCACTTAAGTCTAAATTTGATTGAATAATAAAAAAACGAGTCTTATACTGGAAATCACATGGTCATAGTAATTCACTCATGGAAACCCTGTTTAATAAAGGGTATTATAATACATATTTTTGTCAGTTCTGTATAGAGCCTGTAGATTTTTTTCTTTCTGTTTTACCAAAAAGCTCACAATGATCTTTGAAGATGAAATATTGTGTCTATAGTCCTCCTCACCATGTTCACTGTAACTGGTGTCCTACATTGTAAAATCATCTGTATAAAATGCTGATTAATTATTTAATGTAAAATGCAAAGCTGAATTGCTCTTCCAATGCTGCCCTGTTGTTATAAATTTCCCCACTTTATCTCAAAACATTTCCTCCATCAGGCTTTGATAGGAAGACCCCATAGGAGGACCTCAGGATGTTCTGCAGACACTATTGTCCTAAATGGAATAGACAACATTACTGCAGCAGTAAGTATATGTGGTGTGATGCTGATCTAAAGGGAACTTTTTCCACTGTTTCACGGTGGTCACAAGTGATTTTTATTTTAGAAATGCCCATATTACAGTATCTGTATCATTTTATACAGTATAAAATGCCCATATTACAGTATCTGACGCATAGCACTGAAATATACTGCTGTTCAAAAGTTTGGGGTTGGTAAGTTTGTGTTAATGTTTTTGAAAGAAGTCTCTTGTGCATCAATGCTGCTTTTATTTGATAAAAAAATACAGTAAAAACAGTAATATTGTGAAATATAGCAATTTAAAATAATTTGGTGGCAAAAATGAATTTTCACCGGCCATTTTTCGGTCTTCAGATTCACATGATCCTTCAGAAATAATTCTAATATGCTGATTTGTTGCTTAAGAAATATTTCTTATTATCAGTGCTGAAAACAATTGGGCTGCTTTTTGTGGGCCCTGTCACACGTTGTTTTTCTTTGATGATTAGATCAGTTTAATAAAAATTAAAAAAAATACTCTTCATTGTCATTCCAAAGATGTTTGACTTTTCTCTGTGGAACATAACAGAAGAGCTTTTGAAGAACATTGGTAACCAAACTGCTTTGGTGACCATTGATGTCCATTGTTCACACTGAGACGTTTCTCAAAATATTCATAATTATATGTTCTGCGGAAGAAAGAAATGGATACAGGTTTGGAACAACATGAGAGTAAATTTTCATTTTTGGTTGAGCTATTCCTTTAAGGGTTTAGGAACTGTTTCTCTTGGGACTGGTCACCATCAGAGAGTCTCTCTGGCCTTTTACGTCCATTATGCTGTGGTTGACTGATACACATTAAAGGGGTCATATGATGTTGCTAAAAATAACATTATTTTGTGTATTTGGTGTAATGAAATGTGTTTATGCGGTTTAAGGTTAAAAAAACATTATTTTCCACATACTGTACATTGAGTGACATAGACATGTGGGGGCGTGTTAGAACGAGGCGTTTTAGGTAGGCGTGGCTGACTCTTAACTTTTATAAAGAATATCTCTTTGGTAGATAGACTTTTTAGTCTTTGCAACTTTACAGATCTTCTTTATGCACCAAGAGCTTGTAACACTCCAAAGAGAAAGGAAAACTTGAAATCGCATCATATGACCCCTTTAAAATCTGCCACCTTCAAATTACCTTTTATTCGTTGATTTATTTTTAATTGCTTGCAATGTTACTGTGTTCGTATTATTGTGCATTTGCATAAGTCTATACTAAATAATGTATGAACAGCATGTAGGTACATAAATATTACACATCTCAGAAATACTTGATTCTTGTGATTGTGTATCCATCCCTTATTTTATGCATCTCCCTGTTGTAGTTGCACGTTGTTGTTGTTCAGTGGAATAAAGTGTTAGAAAGAAATATAAGGGATTTCTAAAAGTAGTTATTTGAATAATTTAGTAGCCATTACATTTAATAGGAAGGAACGTAATGTGGCTTTCCGGTGGTCTGGGTTTGGAACATGCATTTATGGACAGAACAGGCGTCTTCCATGATCATTTTAAACACATGCTACAACATGGAAAGATGCTGTGCAGGGCACGCTGACAATGCCTTTCTGTCATTTCTTACCATTGAATTTAATGACAAAGCATAGTTTCAGTGGAAATAATCTGATAGGATTCGTTCACTCAAAAATTAACGTTCTGTCATTTCTTTTCCCTCAAGTTGTTCAAAGCTTCTATGACTTTGTGGAACAAAAAAAAGATGTTTAATGAAAAAAAATATCTCTGTTTCCACAAAAATATTAAGCAGCACAACATTGATAATAAGATACGTTAGTTTAGCCTTGAGAACCAAATCAGTATATTAGAATGATTTCTGATGGATCATGTGACACTGAAGACTGGAGTAATGATGCTGAAAATTTAGCTTTGCCATCACAGGAATAAATTACATTTTCAAATATATTGAAAATAGAAAACAGTCATGATAAAATAAATGCAGCCTTAGTGATCAAAACAGGCTTATTTCAAAAACATTAAGAAAATTTTGACAGCTTGTGTGCTATATTCAAAGTGTTTTGAAGCCGTATATCCTTCAGTGAGTTGCATCAGTCAGATGATCTCGAAAAAATCTGATCAGTCTCATTTGTGAGCGAATCATCTAGACAGGTTTTGTGAATTGGATCATTGAAGAGATTTGACTAGAATTAAATTGTTTACGAATAAGATGTTGCTTTGCTCCTCAAAGCATCAGAGAAAGCTAGAGCAGATGCATGATTTTTACAGTGAGTGACTTTCAGTACTTTTCAGTCATGATTTATGTTTTCAGTATTGGAATATAGTACTTGCATCGACTATGTGCTTTTTTGTCATTTTGACATGAGACTAAATTACTAAATAATAGCTAAATGTTGAGCTATTTCTCTAAGTGTATAATTGTTTCCAATATGCTCTATTGTGATGAAAAGCAAAGGTTAGCCGGTGAGACAGACAAGCAAGGGGAGGGGAGAGAGCAACAGACTCGCCAAAGCAACCAAACAGGGGGTGTGTCAATTGGCTCTCTGCACAGTGTGATAAACTTAGTGGACATTTCTATTTTTAACACGCCTCTCTCTGACCTGTCAACATAGACAGCTGTATTTGCACCATAATGTTCATTCAGGCCAGTGGTCCCCGGTGGAGCCTGCAAGAGCCCAGCAATGCTGAAGGACCTTTGAAGGGTTAAAGAGTTTACCGGCAGTGCAAGTGGATCTTTGATGTGGACGTGGGCTGTGTCACTTTAAAAACCCAAGAGGACTTCACTTTGTTTGGGTTTAGCCACCTGTTGGGACAGTTGTGGACTTTTTGAAAAGGGGAGATTTGGATTACAGCAAGAACCTGTGTGTACTAAGCTTTGTTCTGACCTTTCTGGTTCTTGGACGTGTGGACTTGACGAGACAATGTCCACAATGTCCAGTGAAGGTGATGCTGGAGGTCAGCCTTCCACAACAACAATCAGCACCGTAGCTGTACAGGCTGGAGATTCGCAGATTGTTGTAGCAGTGCTGAAGGTAATTGAATTTGAACTATTGTGCTTTACAGTGCAAAGCTTTATGTAGTCTGAACATATGAACTGAATGTTTGTCACTGGAAATGTAGTATATACAGTTTTAATTCTTTCAGTTGCATTACCGTGCAGTTAATCAGAACATTCTTTGGTGACTGAGGTTGACTTGTACACTCTCAGAAAAAAAAAGGTACAAAAGCAGTCACTGGGGCGGTACCCTATCAAAAGGTACACTTTTGTACCTTTTAGGTACTAATATGTACCTTTAAGGTACCAATATGGACTCTTTAGGTACAATGGTGTGCCTTTTGAAAAGGTACCGTCCCAGTGACAACTTTTGTACCTTTTTTCTGAGAGTGTACTGTAGTGTTAGTTTGTCTTGTAATAAAATTCTCAAATATAAAAGTAATTTAGTCACCCCCATGTTGTTCTAAATCAGAATGACTATATCGTCTGTGGAACACAAAAGAAGAAATTTAGCAGAATGTCTCAGCTGCAGTGTTATTGTAGTATTATTTATATATTATTATAGTATTTATTTAATTTTTAGGTTTTATTTTTATATTTTCAGTTGTCACTTGAATTTTAGTAATTTTATGTGCTTTTGTAATCTTTGTTTTTCTATTTAGCTTTTTATTCCAGTTTTAGTATTAGTCATTTTAGTACTTAAGTTGCCAAAGCAACATTTAATTTTTTTCATTTTAAGCGTTTTTCATCTAATATTCTATTTTATTTCAGCATTATTTATATTTATTCAGTTACTAAAATTATTTTTAATAGTTTAAGAAATTTTAGTACAAATACATTCATTCAGCTTATTTCAGGTAGTTGCCAAGGCAGCTTTTCAAATTAATTTCATTTTCCATCTAATAGTTGTATTTTATTTTTATGTATATAAATTTTCATTTATATATTTGACTACCAAAAACAATTACAGATTTTTAATAGTTTTTGTTTAACTGCCTAGCTGCTCTTTTGGACTGGGACTGAATTTTCATTTTAAGGGTGAACTATTCCTTTCTTGATAATATCTTTGAATTAATAAAATTGTACGGCTGCATGGAATGTTGAGCTCACAGTGAGATCTTCATTGCTTTATCCAAAAGCACCGCTACAAACATGGGAAGCAAATTGCTCTCACCAGTGATGTTATGGGCACACAGCTCAAGTTATTCAACAGACACTTGGCTTTGGCTATCAATAAAACCTTATTGTTTTTCTGTGAGAGGATTCCATGGAATGTGAATATTCCATAATGCCTGATGCAGTGACTTAATGCGGAGGCAAAAACAGCTGTGAGAAAAACACAGAGCTCTGTGATGGTCCAAACTCCTCATGGCCTAAATTATTCATAATGATTCTCTGTGACCAGTCATCCTCATGTCTAGGTTTAAGAGTTCTGTTATTGTCTAATGTACGCTTGCTCCTGCTGTTGTTTCAAGGAATAGTTCAGCCCAAAATGAGAAATCTGCTGTGTTTTTTTTACTTCTCCTATACACTCCTAAAGTTGTTTCTAGCCTAATGTCTTAGGCTCTGAAAAGTTCCATAAAAGTATACAATGCTTCCAATCCTCCAAGTGTTCTTAAGTCATTTGACAGGAGGCAACAGTGAATTTAAGTTATTTACTGACAATCTTCCCTCCACCAGAGCTATCAAATCTCATTTTTATTCACATATTACTCCTATATATGTGTTGCAGGTTTGACATCATTGATTTTAGGTGTAGTATTCACCTCTTTCTTTGTTTATATGGCTGGTTCTTCATACACAAAGCAGTTCATGCATGTTAGTATTAAAAACCACCAGATGCCTGCAACAGACCCTGTTAGCAGCCTTAATTTATACAGAAATGATAATTAGCCATCAGTCCACATACCTTAAACAGTATTTTTTGCAGTTGTTTAACAAACATGACAGGCTGTGACAGCTGTGGCAGCTCCACATTTCATTCACTCTCAGAATGGCTCTTCCCGTACTTGCAAATTGCAATGCGATTTTAAGATCAGCGCAATTTGCATGCCAAAGTTTGCATTGGGACTTGCAATTGATCGGATGAGAATTCACTGAGGGGGCTTTGCATTGAAATCGAAGTGCTCTTTGGCCAGGGGCCAGTGGGAGACCTTTTTTTCAGTCTTGTTTACAGTCTGTGAAATGCACTTGAGGCTGGATAAAAGATACAAGAGGTGCATGTGCAGAAGCACAGCCATACATTAACAAGTTCTCGGGTGTGTGGATTGCGCGTGTGTGTGTGTGTGTGTGTTTGTTTGTTTGTGTGTGTGTGTGTGTGTGTTTTTTTTTAAGTGTGGCGAGCTGGTGCATCTACAACTGACTGAAGCACAACCCAACCTGCTGGAGATTGGAAACAACCAGGATGAGACCAAAAAGCTTCTAGAGGAACATGAGCAGCTCCTTGCCAAACTTAAGGTAATCTCTACTGTACCAATGCAAAATAAAAATGTTTTGATCTTAAAGCTCAATAGCTTATAGTACAGTATAGTAGTAGCTTATGTACAGTACCAGACAAAAGTTTGGACACACATGATCTATAAATCCTTTTTTTTTTTTTTACTTTAAAGCTTATTCTGAAATGCTTTAAATGAGTTTTGTAGACAAATATAAATTGCTTGTGAATAATTTTTCAGCATTTATAACGGTAAGATTTTTTTTTGCACAAAATCAGCACATTAGAATGATTTCTGAAGGATCATGTGACACTGACGATTGGAATGATGGATGTCAATTAATCTTTGCCATCACAGGAATTAATTAGATTTGAAAATATATTAAAATAGAAAACAGTTATTTTAAATTGTAATAATATTTCCCAATTTACCATTTAAAAATCTTGATTTTTCCAATAGTATATGTGAACTCATTAAGTATTGCTTAAAAAGCATCCCAGGATGCACCTCATAAAGTTTCATGAGAGAATGGAATATAGACAAATGCTGGGGAATTTAAAAGAAGCTAAAATATAGTAAAGCTTTGATCATTCCTAAATATATTAAAACAGAAAACAGTTATTTTAAATTGTAATAATATTTCCCAATTTACCGTTTAAAAATCTTGATTTTTCAAAAACAATAAAACTTACAGTCCCAAGCTTTTGAACAGAAGTGTTCAAAATTTATTTTTTATGTTTTTATTTATTTATTTATGATGAGTTACACCAGAGTGCATCCAATAGTATATGTGAACTCATTAAGTATTGCTTAAAAAGCATCCCAGGATGCACCTCATAAAGTTTCATGAGAGAATGGAATATAGACAAATGCTGGGGAATTTAAAAGAAGCTAAAATATAGTAAAGCTTTGATCATTCCTAAACTTTAGTTGTATAATTTTGTAGTGTTGATTACTTTTATTCTAGGTTATTTTATCCTTTATAAAGTGAAAAATAACAGCTGTTTTCAAACTTTTGGCTAGCATGTATTTGTATAGTTGTCTATGCTTTACATATTAAGTGCAATATCCATCTCACAGAACCATGAGGAGATGATTTATGGGATTTCCACAGATGTTTTTTTGGTGCTGTTGTTGGAGGCATCATTATAGCTCCTGAACTTTAATTCCTGTTTAAGACCCACCACTCTGTTTAACTTCAAGGTTCTTCAATGTTTCATTTGAGTCTTTGAAATACAATTGTTATAAATCTGCTCTGTTCAGTAGGATGATTCCATTCACGATGAATGTTTTGAAGTTGAATTATAAAGATATTTGCATAGAAAATTTAATGAAGAGGAATTAATAACAGATGTTACACATTTTGTACACTTTTATATTGCCAGATCCAAAAAGCTGCCGTTACATCAGACATATGACACAAAGCGATGCTGTCAGACCTTACAAGGAGAGTTCCTGGCTTCTTTGAACTGCCTTCAAAATATTGATTCGATCACACAATTATATGCTATAGAAGCATTTCCGTGCTATATTTGAAAGTGAAAAACATCAGAGCTGCTATTTGACCAAAAGTAAATACAGACTCAGAGTGCAGCGTTTAATCAGAACAAAATCCTCTACCACAGTTAAAATGTATTGCACATTACCAAATATTTCATCATGTACGTATGTGCATCTGCCCACCAGACGTGTCTAATCAGCATGGGAGCTGCTTCTTGTTTACAGTTTAAATAAAAGTAAGAGCTGTGTACACTTAACATGCTAGGGCACGGTGTTATGTCTGTTAATTGAATTTCAATTTTACACAGAAAAATGAAGGAGGTGTGTGGGCTTTGCTGGAGGAGGCTGATAAAACAGCAGCTCAGAAGGAAGGAGAGGAGCTGGTTTATAAGGCCATGGCAGTCTCTCTCAGCGAGGCTTGGAAAACACTGGTGGCCCACTTGGAGAAGAGGAGATCACTTCTGATCTTGGCATGCCATTTCTTTGATTGTGCTCTGGAGGTAATGTGGTTTCCTATAGAACCTGCTGAAGTGCTTGAACTATCAGATACTCGCTGTAGGAAAATTACAGTTGTTGTTTAATGCCTTATCGTGAGGAATGTAATTTATCTTCTGGTATTGTAAAAACATGCTGAATTCAAAACACCCTCCCCAGGCTAAAAAGTAATTTATTGAAGCTTAACTACCAAAACGCAGCATGGTCAGGTGTATATGTGACCCTGGAGCACAAAACCAGTCATAAGTAGCACGGGTAAATTTGTAGCAATAGCCAAAAACACATTGAATGGGTCAAAATTATAGATTTTTCTTTTATGCCAAAAATCATTAGTACGTTAAGTAAATATCATGTTCCATTAAGATATTTTGTAAATTTCCTACCGTAAACACATAAAAACTTCCTTTTTGATTAGTAATATGCATTGCTTGAAGGACTTCATTTTGTATGTATAAATCTCAATTTTGAAAGATTGACACTTAAGACTGGTTTTGTGGTCCAGGGTCACATATAGTTTGTCACATTAACCAGAAAGTGTCTCAATACTTTGTTTTGCATTTTACTGCTCAAAATTAAAACAAAGTCAGCAGACTGTTCCCACAAAAAGCAAGCAGCCTCTTATTGAGAAAGCAGCTTCCTGTTGGTCAACGCGGAAAATCCATGAAAAACATAATTCTTGATCTCGTGGATTCTTATTGAAATGACTGGATTTCTCCCATGGAAATTCATTTTTTGTATTATTTATTTACTTGCTTGTTTGTTATTATCATGATTTACTTTATTTTTTTGTGATGTTGTTTGCTTTTTTATAGGCCACTTTTTTCTTTCTTTTTTTTTTAAAGAAAAAACCATTTAAACCAGACAAAGCTGGTGAACAACTTTAAAAGGCCATTGTTATAATTTTGCTTGAGAATTGTTTGTGCTAGGCTATATATATATATATATATATATTATTTTTTATTTTTTATTTTTTATATATATATATATATTCTGTTCTGTTCTTTTATTTATTTATTTTTTTTTGTATTAAATAATAAAAAATGACAATAATAATCTAGAAAAAGTGCATGAAACCATCTAAAACCAGCCAAGGCAGTAGAAGCAGAAAATGTAAAGTGTGGCCTAAGCATTCAAGTACCTTTAGAGGCCACTGTACATAACAGCAGTGCATTTTTCTAACTTTAAAAGCCCATTGTTATAATTTTAAAACATTTTCCAAACATGAACATAATTATTTTCATAACCAGTGGCTTTTAAAAACTATTTAAAGGGAAAAATACAATAAATAAATAATAAAGTTTTGCCTCTGATAGTTAGACGTGCCACGGGGAGTGTGTTACACTGTGTACTGTACAAAACAATGTTTTTGTTTGGAAATACTATGGATGGTTTTTGTTTTTACAGCTTTAAAGTTGGGAAACATGGTGCTATTTGATACTGACTGGACATGCAATGTTGTGTATTTGTTCAGTTTTTTACAGTGAACAGCTGTTTCCGTTTATCTTCAGCATTATGAAGCAAGTCAGTCACATTACTTTCATATCTGCTTCAGTTAGATATTCTAGATTTAAGAAGATGGCTCATCATCAAGGTCACATGCTGCTGTTTTGACAGCAGCAGAAAACGTGCAAATAAACTCAAGCATGAGTATGTTTCAGAACAATATCATACCTGTCAACATTTGGGTACCAAAATACGGGAGGGGGAGGGGGGCGGAGTCAAAAGTAACGTTTTTTTATTATATTATTTTTATATTAATTTAAATAATTATTATCAAACAATTATATTCATGTAGTAACATAAATATATCTTAGTGTAGGCTATATCTTTAGAGTTTTATAATTCATTATCTTCTTGTCGA